ATCATTCTCTCCACTTTGTTACTTATGCAAGCTTTATGCAGGGCTGTCTCTCCTACCATAAAAAATTAATAGATTACACTAGACTAGGCAAGATAGCAACTAAAGAAAATAATCAAAGTGCCTGGAACTAGGAGACCTGGCTATATGCCAGAAAATTCAATAATGAGTAAGATTTTCCTTTATCCTGTTTAACCATCTTTTAAGAAAATTCAAAAAAAACCCACAGAGCTTCTGTTCCACCAGAGATCCAGCAATGAAATTGTATTGCAAATGGTTTAACACAGGAATTATCTCCCCCCAGTTCAAGGTTTAAAGCTTCAATCACACTATAAAAGCACCAAGTGATCACAGAACACCAAAAATACTGGGTTTTGAAGCAATAAAACTTTAGAGTGCAGTTGCCCTCCCTTAAATTTATTCATGAACCTACGTTAAAATGTATAGTTCTTTTTACACAGCATTTATAGCTTAATTCAAATGAATGTTTCTGGCTAAGCACGAGTGCCTCTACACACTCAAGTACAATTCAGAACTTCAAATCCGTTAACAGATGGTTTGCTGTTTCTCAATAGGCTGTCTGACTTGGCTACAGTAGCAAGGGAGGGGGAAAGAGAGAAATAAATGAAGGGGTCCTAATAATAATAATAAAAAAAAAAAAATCCTCTGGAAAAAAAAAAAACAAGCCTTAGTACCAGGTAAAGCTGAAGTAAGTGTGAAAAACTGAACAGCAAGCAACTGAGAACTGGTGCTTATATGCAAAGACACCATTAGTTTCTGCATGATAAAAACTTCAGACCCATTCTAAATGCTGTTTTGCTTTCACTAAACGATTAGGTTTGAACAAGAGCCAGAGGAAAATCTTGATGCCAGGTGAAAGATGATGCAACAAACATCTTAGAAATGAAAGTATCTCAAGGCTAAATCTCTCAGCCTTTGCGATAAGATTTACATGGTATATTTTGTCATATTAATACCTTCACTATGTAAATCTGTCAGCTCCATACTCATTCTTTCAACAGAAGACACTACTTAACAATTTTGGCAGGGGAAGAATAGAAAAAAAGCAGGTTGGTTTTTTTATTTGCCCTAGTCCTTCAGCTCACTTTTCTTTGCAGAAGTCAGCATGTAATAATTCACATCAATTTTACTTGCAAAAGCAATAAAGAGAAAGGGAACCAATTTTAAAAATGCATGGTCTGGCTCTGTTACTGAAGCTCTCTTAAATCCCAAAAGAGGGTGAGGGTTTTTTTGTCCTTCAGTGTTTGTGATACAATTCTGTTTTTAATTTTTTGAACAATCCCAACTTGCTTTTGCCAGTTTTTTCTAAGCCTTCTCTTGGGTGCCATGATTAATATAGTTGTGTTTTAGGAGATATAGGTAAATTTCTGATGATGAAGATGAGAAAAAGTAGTTCCAGCAAGTAATTCTGTTCAGGTAAAGGCTCACGTAAAGTACGATTTATTAAATTTGTGTAATAAGTAGGAACGGGATGAATTACTGCAGTGCTGTTTTATTCCTTAGGTACTTGGGTTCCAGTATAGCTAAGACAAAAGCCAAATGCCTTTCATAGTCTGGGCTGAATGCCTGGAAGAAAACAGTCCATATGCTTAACACAGCTATGTAACATAGCATACTCCGCAGTCTTTGTTCACAAAATGTCTAGGACTGAAAGAGATGAAGACTGAATTATACTTTCAAATCAGAAGACGTTGATCCTACCAAGCACAGGTTGAGGTGGATTAGCAAAGTAAGGCGGGCAAGACTGGAATGAGCTCATACAAGCTGTACACTGTATTTAATATCTGGGAGGGGGAGGGGAATGAAGAAGGCAGCTTTATTCCACCATATATACAATTCCTCCTTTTAAATAGACATCAGAAAAAAGAAACACAAACGATAAGAAAATAATTCTTGGGCATAAGCCATCATTTTAGTTCAGCATTCATCAGGACAAGATTTTTAAACCTGAAACTGTCGATTCTAACCATACAAAGTTCTTAACATAGATTAGATATATAGAATACCTTTAGTATTTCTCTTGTAAAAATGTACCTCTTCAGCCAAAAGGTAGCAATTCTCTTTGGTGTATGAAGCCCCAACTTCTGCTTTTGCTCTAAGTTTCTTTGCCAATGGAGGGCACTTATTAAAGATTAAGTCACTGAAAAGACAGCAAAGGGGACACGTCTAAAATCACTATTTCAGATTTTAAGATAATGTATATGTACTTAATGCTTTTAAATGTGTATATATAGCATACTTAGATCTATCCATTTCAGAGTTATTTCTGAAATGTCTTAATTACATAATTTCTATGTCATTTAATTATAACTGTATTTAAAACAGTAATAAAATTAAATTACCCACAATTAAGCTTTCTTTAAGGGTAATTCTATGAACAGTTCAACTTCTCTACGTACACTTTAAATTTAACGACGTCAGTTTGCATATACATTGAGATGGAGGATGGGGAGAAAGGGGGAACCCCAGCCCAGAGATGTTACAAGTTTACAATGGAGCTTTCTGTCAGTTGCAGTAATTTGTAGACAACAAAACAGGTCATACAAAGTTCAAGAAATGTGTCAGGTCAGAAGCTGTCCCCCAAAGCAGAATAAAATCGGTGATGTTATAGATATTACTTACGGTAGATCAGGCAGCACTTTGACTTGGTTCTGCTTATCACCGTTTAGCATCTGTAATGCCCTTTGAGACTCAGGGCATTGCCGTTGCCCTATTTTCTTTGTCTTTGCTTTATGTATCTTTCTTGTCTCATTAATCCCTACCTCTCGCAAAGCAGGCGAATAGGAACAGACCTGTTGCAAAAGTAACATTTTCAATGACTTTGTATACAGTAAATTAAAATGCAGTCATTTTCTTTTGTTGCACTTCACGCAAAGCAGTCATCCACCACCCACAGCTTGCTGTATCTAAGTTTTTAAAAATATGATCCCTAAATGATTGCATATATAGATTGTTTAAAGTTGTCTTCTGCAATCTTTTTTATATTCTTGTAATTCACTCTTCATGCTGGCCTCAGAAGTGAGTGGGTTGTGTCTGAGCCAGAAGGTGGGGAATTCTAGACCTCTCTCTTGTTTTTTTGGTAGCTGAGAAAATTTTGATCACTTTAGCTGGACATAAGACTGAACTAAAGCTAATTGATTCTCAGGTACTTAATGAAAGTATTTACAAGCTTACTGATCCCAACCCAGGGAGCAAAACCCAGGGAGCAATTTGGTAAAGAAACACTCATTCACTTCCTTCATCTCTCCTAAGATGAGGGGTTGGATTAAGCCTCTGAGCATTGAGAAGGCAATAAGCTAGTTATCTCTTAGGTGCTCTCTCATCATTAGGATAGCTTTGGACGTTGTAGATATTTTGGCTTCTTTCCAGTAATACAGAGCTTCCAAGCAACCTACAACCGCTCATTTTAAAAAGTCATGTAAGTTTTTGCAGTTTGGCAAAAGCATAGGAAAAAGTCCAGTGAGGGGACTCATTCAATATCTGAAGAAAGATACTAAAGAAGGCTTTGAGTATCTAGCAGATCACTGTAGATTCTGCAGGCAACTTGCAATGGGTGAGGGACACCTTACTTGCACCTTCGCTGTGCATTTACCAGCAGAGAGTAGGAGGGCACTATTTGCACCCATAGAAAAGCCTAGCTGATAAGACGCTGTATGAGAAGAGCTGGCAAAATTGGATGATAATTAATGTTTATTGTATGGAACGAGAAAAGAGGCACAGTAATGCTAAGGAAAGCCACAAAAAGCAGAAGAACTTGTTTCAAGCACTACAAAAATTTACATTTAAGTAGTTGCAGAGTGATGAGTAGTCATGGCAATACTAAAAATAGCAATTGCTGCTGCATATGTGTTGGCAACATATGTTAAATATTAGATATATAGTTGGTTTATTTTTAAAATTCTGACAGTCTTTTGTTCAAGCTCAGTTTAAACACGATGTATTAATAAACAATGATCTCTGTTCACAATAAAATCCTGCAAAATTCAGGAAAACTTATGTATGGAAAATGTATAAAGGTGTAAATTTGTTTTTCTTTGACTACCTGTAGAATTTTAGGACATATAGAAACAGTTATGGATTCCATATTCTGTTTAGTTGTTAGTATAGAGTTAGTCAGAGGCTCTAAGTTAGGGCATGTCATTACTGTGTCATCTCCCAAATTTGCCTGCATCCTGCCAGCAGTCATGGTTTTGAGAATTTCTTTCACAGCTTTCATCATGTATTACCTCACCAACTACCACAAATTGTGATTTGAAGGCAGGAAAAGGTTTGCAAGTAGGAGAAACTTTTTAAGAGAATGTCCTGCCCTGCCAGCGAGAAGCTGGGAGGGGGCACAGCCGGGACAGCTGACCCAAACTGGCCAAAGGGATATTCCATACCATATGACATCATGCTCAGCATATAAACTGGGGGGAATTGACTGGGGGGGGGGTGACCACTGCTCGGGGACTGGCTGGGCATCTGTCAGTGTGTGGTGAGCAATTGCATTGTGCATCACTTATTTTGTATATTCTTTTATCATTATTATTATTATTATTATTGTTATTGTTTTCCCTTCCTTTCCTGTCTTATTAAATTGCCTGTATCTCAACCCATAAATTCTACTTTTTTTTTTCCCCCGATTCTCTCCCCCATCCCACTGATGGGGCGGGGAGTGAGTGAACGGCTGTGTGGTGTTTAGCTGCCTGTCAGGTTAAACCACAACAGAGGAGAAATTCACAGGAATACACTGTGGTTCAAAATCATAAAATCTTGTATGTAACAAATGCTTGGCCCAGTAGAATAATAGACTGTCACCTCTTCAAAAAAAATGAAGGAAAAGATAACCCAGGAAAATCACACTATATTTGGCATTTTCTTTAATTACAAATGTAACATTGCAAAAAAGTATTTACATCAGAGATTATTTTAAAAAGCTTTCATTGTGACTTTTCATGTTAACTGCATGTAAACAGATTACTCAGGTGTTACAAATTCTCTGGCAAGAAAAATCTTACCATTGTTTTGAACCCAGATCTCAGGCAAAGAGAAATTTAAATGCAGTAGAGTCTATCTACAGGAAGACAACACGTGCAATGAGCATGACCTTAGACCACAAAAGAAAGGTATTTTCCAAGACTTTCATGAATTCAATTACTTGTAAAATACTTAAGTGTGATAGGTTATTAAGGAGTAGAAGAGTTACTTACTATTTTCTGAAGAGAAAGAGGTTCTGTAGAAATAGTTATATTCCTCTGTAAACACATTTTTTTAAAAACTGCTTCTGCGACAAACATTTGAAGCCAGAGGGATGGTATGGAACAAATGAACATTTTTAATTCACATATCGAAAAATCTGGATAAAAGCAAAGGGGGGAAAAAAAGATCCTTAAAATGAGAATATACAAACCTGTACATCTAGAGTTATCTAGAACATAGCCCTTCCAGACACTTTTTTTCCTGCTGTTGCAGATTCAGAAGCTATTCTCCGTGAGAATTACTAAAAATACTCATATTAAAAAAGATTTTATCCATCATCTGATAGTGAGACCAGCTTCTAAGAGAATGGTTAACAGATATTAAAAGGCAAAGCACCACTTTTTATGTGAAACTTTTTTAAAAAGAGCTCTAAATGCAATCTTATAGAAGTTACACCTTCATTTTGAGAATGAAATTATTTATTTGGGAATTTATGCAAGTGATCACCTTTAAAATCTGTGACACAATACAAACACAATTTAGATAAAATGTGTAACACATGAACAAAGAAATCTACAAGTAATGCAGGGTGACCCATAAATTCTACATTAAAAGTGATCGTAAGCGAATTTCAACCCCAGTCAGATGTACCAAACAGTTCATACTGTTTTAAAAAAAAAAAAAAAAAAACAGACAGTGGCAGAAGAATATATATCTACATCTATATCTATCTCAATATGTATCACACATAAGTCTGGCCTACGTCTCTTTTTTTTTGAAAAGGAGATGGAATGACTGATTTTTCTTAGGGTGGTATTTGTATTTTGATTCTAGCAAAATAATTTTGTCAAAATAGCAACTGAAACAGGTGGAAAGCAAGGTGTGCCATGAGGAAGAAAGTCTTTACTGTATTGAGGGAATATTCTGTTCTGCTAAGAAGTGCTCATGTATTACCTGATCTGTAGACTCAATCAAAACAGAAACACAAGTTTTGAGAGTACACATTTTCTTCTCTAAGAGTGACAGAATTTAGGAGAAGTCTGCAACTGTTTTTTGGGCTTTACGTGCTCTGGACTGAACCAAGAGGCAGTGATCACCAATAGGTCAAAGAATCTTTACTCTTTATAACCAGACTGTGAATGGTGTTCTTATGAATGCTCTCAGTGAAGGAGAGCATAGAAAGTATAATTTTCCATTTGTGTACAGGAAAGTAACAAAGTCTTACAGAAATACACATCCAAGATTCTCCCTATTATTTGAAAGCTAGAAAATCCACTGGAGAGGTGGTAGTAGTAGTAGATACTAAAAGCTCCATGGATTTAAATACTATAAAGTTCCAACTGATTTGCCCTTCTAAGATCTAAGGCAGGCTATTAACAGTTCTCATAATTTGCTTTCTGTAAGACTGGAGTGGAACTATTTGTCTAGAGACTAAGATTTTAGTTTAATTTTTTCAGAATAGTTATTCTCAAGTCTCCAGGTAGGAGAAGGCAGCAACACTTTAAATGAAGCCTATGTACACCTATCTTTAGACAAAGTGATAACTGAAACCAGGATATCCATACAGGTGTAACAGCTGAGTTACAGTTTTCCCACTATTTCCTAAAGGGCGGTGTGGAGGGAAAGGCAGCTTTGTGTGCATTAAGTTTGAAAATGAAATTAAGAAAATTCAGTAGTTTTTTTGATTATTTTTTTGGTCTTTTGAGTTCCTCATCCTCTAGTTGCTAAAAGGACAGATACCTCAACCGACATTCCATGTTAAATGATAATGGTTCGAGTTGTGACATTTCTCTTTATCTAGTATATTTGATGAAGAGGAACAATAGTGTTTCATGGGACTAGTTGGAATCTTCCACCACCCCCCAAATAAAGTCCATTAAGACTAAGGATTTGCAATGAGACACTGAAATGTTTCATTTGAAGTCTGTATGGGTCAAAGACTTCAGCGTAGCTTTTGGACTTACGGATGAAGTGTCTTTAGCAAACAAGATGAAGTTTGTGGAGTGAAAAATTTCACCTTAAGGTGTCTCCAATTGCCTCTCCAACTTTATGGCTTATTATGGTATGCTTAAAGCTCTTCCTAAACTGACAAGAGAGCTCTGAAGATTTTTTTTTCTTCTTCACACTGTATAGTCTTGCTTTTGCATTATAGAATCATAGAATCATAGAATTAAAAGACTTAGAGAGGCCTTTCAAACACTCACCATCACATGAAATGGCAAGGTACTGTGCCAAATCATCAGCTATTTGATGAAACACATTTCTGTCCATAAGCAAACTTGAGATGATCCAATATTCCACTACAGTTCCAAGAATTGCATTTAATAGACCAGCTATTTCACATCTGAAAGCCTAAATGAAAAAACAAACAAACAAGCGTTATCTATAGACCTGTACTGTATAACAAATTCACATTGATAATGTACCAGTAATAACACTAGAGAACTTCTTTAGATAAAAGCCCACCCTGTTGCCACATCACTTCTTCACTGGCTTTTCTTTTTCTGCTCAAAAGCTAACTGTTGCAGCCAGGTCAACAAAATTAATATGCCACTGATGCCACATCAATTAAGATTTGGCACTGGAGAAATACAAGTTATTTGAAAACATCCTGTCTTAAACAGCATGCAAAATGGGATCAAAGCTTACAAGTACAAAGTGTGATTTCTTTTTAAATTGTTTAATTTAATTTAACTGTAAGATTTCAAGTACTGCATTTATGCTAGTTAACCTTGTGTTTAATTTGACAATTACAGGGATCTTATTCTCCCTGCCTTATAAGGATTCTCTTTTCCTAAAGATTTCATCATGACATTAAAGCTCCTTTTGTGACTAACCGTGTATGTCTGTGCCAAAAGGGAAAAGGATGCAAGGTGTTAGTTTCCTGCACAGAAAAAACTTTGGCAGCCAGTTTGTGGGATCAGGAAACTTTCTTCTGCTACCAAAAATTCCAAAGAGACTAGCAGCTGCAAATTTAGAAAGAACATACTTATGGGTATTAGCCTTACCTTTTTCTCCCCTGAACCTGCACAAAATGGTCATGTGTAGGTAAAAAAGCCAAAGCATATTTTCTTCAGGAGGCATCGAGACAATATAGAATCATAGAATCATTTAGGTTGGAAAAGACCTTTAAGATCATCGAGTCCAACCGTTAAGCTAGCACTGCCAAGTCCACCACTAAACCATGTCCCTAAGCACCACATCTACACGGCTTTTAAATACCTCCAGGGATGGTGACTCCACCACTTCCCTGGGCAGCCTGTTCCAGTGCTTGACAACCCTTTCGGTGAAGGAATTTTTCCTAATGCCCAGTCTAAACCCTCCCTGGCGCAACTTGAGGCCATTTCCCCTTGTCCTATCCATATATATATATACACACAGCACCTGGACATGCTATCCAGAAAGTACCATGAGCAGATAAACATATTTGTTCACCCACATGAGCACTTCACTTCATCAGTATTGGTTGGGAAAAGCACTGCTTCTAGTGTCTGAGTTAGTCTGTGCAAAGGAAAGTCAGATCTGTATACTCAACACCTTTCTGTGCCACGTAGAAATATTTTATGCAACGATTCTGAACTAAGTTATTCCTCTGACCACATGTACAACCACAGAAAATTCAGTATTTCTATGTCAGTTTTGAAAATGCAAATTGGAGGAATATGTGCACCATTGTAGGAACACATGAAATTCATTTGCCCAAAGACACTTACCTAAGGCTCTACAGGAGAATCACTACTGTTACACTAGAGCACCAGCCGATGTACTGCATGTTAGTGAAAGAAAATGAGTACTTCAAAATGGAAAATTTTGGATAAAAGGGAAATTGAACTGAGTATTTATTTACTTATTTGTCAGCTTAAGATTTTAAAGAATTACTTAAAGGAAACAAAACTTTTCTGTCTTTTGTTGTGCTCTCACACCACAGTCAATGGTTTGTCTAATACTCCTTTGAGAACAAAGTATGTTCAAAGTTGGTTTAAAATAATTTAATAGGGTTCCCTCAGGAGCTGGAAAGCACCAAAGACTGAAACAGTGTGAGCTTCGCCAATAAATCAAACAGACATGTATGAGAGCAACAGAGACCGTGACACAGATGGGATTTATTATAAAAAGATTACAAAGTCATTTGTCGAAAACCTACATAAATACTATCCCTACAGTTAACAGACTTAATTGTCATTCAAAAGAAAAGGAATAAACACAACAACAAATAAACATTGTGTGGGGAGGCAGTATAATGTCCACCACTGAAGGCTTTTAAGAACTGGCCAGGGAAAATCAGAATGTGGTCTCGGAGATCGCTTCCAGCCCTACTTCCTCTTACTCTGTTAAGCTCTACTTGATTTGGTTTGCTCCTTGCTTCAGTGTATCACAATACTTGTTGATGAACTGTGGGATCTCATAATAAAAAAACCTGAGAACATTGATATGGCATGTCAACAACAAGAAAATAATTTTTTTCAACTAAAATTTAAATATTTTAAAAGCTACATTACTCCCTATCTTCTGAGGATTCAGGAATGGAAATTGAAGAACTAATTTAAAACATCTGAAATGCATTTAAATTTCCCTTAAGTATGCATACCTCTTTTATCATTGGACCCCAAAGCAAAATACTGGGTGAATAATTTAATTCCATCAATAGTTCTTTGCAGGAAATAAATTACACAAATGCAGCAAATAAGCACAATTTTAGCAGAGTTAAGTGACAGGATCAAGGACATATAGAATCATAGAATGATAGAATCATAGAATCATTAAGGTTGGAAGAGACCTCCAAGATCATCGAGTCCAACCGTCAACCCAACACCACCATGCCCACTAAACCATGTCCCTAAGCGCCTCATCTACCCGTCTTTTAAATACTTCCAGGGATGGGGACTCAACCACTTCCCTGGGCAGCCTGTTCCAATGTTT